CTTTGCTGAAACATCTGCCGTAGAAGAAGGTGTAGCAGGGACTCAAGGGGGGATGGGGTGCAGGAGGAGGTTTGTAGATGCAGGCTAGGGAAGGGAGGGAGGAAACCCGGTCATTATAAAGGAGAACATAAAAAATAATACAATGAAGAAAAATATTCCTTTGTTGTTTTTGCTGCATGGACTATTTTTAAACCTTGTAAAAAAGATACTTTACTAACCTCGTGTTTATATCATTTGTGATACATATATAAATACAAAAAATATTTACTTTGTAACCGAATTCTTGTTTGATGTTTGTGTACATTTATTAAATGATAAAACATATTGTGGTGTTATTATAAATTAATGAAATATGTTACATTACATCTGTGGCGCCCTTACTGCATTACGTCCTAATGCACGATCAGTGAATACAACTGACAATATTACAACAAACCCTTGCAGATGGTTGGATATCATTAGAGTTAGTGTGAACTGTGAAAATCTCCAAATATTCCTTTGTTGTTTTTGCTGCTGTTGTTATCACCTGCATGGACTATTTTTAAACCTTGTTAAAAGATATTTTATTAACCTCGTGTTTATATCATTTGTGATGAATATTTAAATACAACAAATATTTACTTTGTTACCGAATTCTTGTTTGATGTTTGTACATATTTATTAAAAATTAAAACATATTGTGGTGTTATTTTAAATTAGTGAAATATCTTACATTACATCTGTGACGCCCTTGCTGCAATACGCCTCAATCCACGATCTGTGAATGCAACAGACAATTACAACAAACCCTTGCAGATGGTTGGATATCATTAGAGTTAGTTTGATCTGTGAAAATCTCCCAGGAACTGTACACGGCTGTTGCTCCAGTTGTGGTGGTTGCATTTCAGACACTCCAGCATATATAACAAGCATTCAACGTTAGATCAAAGTGATTGAAACCGAATAACATAACTTGCAAAACTGAAATTAAAGACCATATGTTAGAGACCTATTCAGATGCACAATTCAATACCAAAACAAGATTCTACCATGACTTCAGTAAACACTGGATGGTGATTGGTTAATTAAAGTCATTCAGAGGTATATAATCACGTTATACATGTATCTGATTTTCCGTGCGCAATCATACATGGTTTACGGTAATGCACTATTTTTGTCTGCCCAGCAACATGGCGGACACCAAACAACCTACCGATGCATCTATAAATTACGGCGATTTTGCTGTCGGAAATTACACATATGTCTTTAAAGATGGATTTAGCGATGACGGGCTCGACTCACTACTGGCGTAAATCACAGCAATAGGTGTTTATACATACAAAAGTACTTCGAAAGCATGGAAACAAATATTCAGTCGAACAAGATCAAAACATCGTCTGCTTTCCGAATAAAAAATCAGCAAGAACAAATATGTTTACGTTGATTCTATGTTATATCAGAATAGATCCAGCAATAGACTGCTACATAATTTCCGTGTTAAATTTATTAATAGCTTTCGTCAACGATATCGCCACTGATCTTGATCCGGTAACGGAGGATGCATTAACATCGAACGCCGAAGAAATTTTAATGCCTTCCGTCCACATAAATAAACAGTTGGGTTATCAGTTCAAATAAAATGATATTTTGAAATGTGTACTGTTTCAAATTTAGCGGTAGTAATTACAGAATCTGCAAACCGTTCTGTTTAGCCCAACATATTTTTTTCTAAAAGTATAATATCGTTGAAAAAGTTATTTAGCTTAGTCATGATCCCTCTTATCCATTACACTGCTTGATCTAAAGTAGTCTATTAAAGTATAATTAATTACCTTACCGTGTTTATGCCAGAGGTACACCCTCATGTCCTGTTCCATCCTTTCGGAAATATCACCACAAATCTGGCTCTTTGTCAACAGCCTCGCGAACATGCCAGCGAATCCGAATCAATTTGAATTCACTACACTTTGAAGCCACTAGGTCACAAAAACACTTTCCAAAATGTAGAAAATAATATCCGTAGAATCGAATTTGAGCACAAAGTACACACATGAGTGTGTAAGGGTCACCACAGCTGTCGCACGCAGACGTAGAGGTGCGTGAAAAGGTCAAGTTGACAGGGCGCAAAATTCAACAGTATCTAAATTCGGTACAACACGGACTTCTCGTTACAGCAAAAGCGCCTCTACTCTTAAATTTTGTACCAGTATACCAGTAATTAGATATCAAAGTCTATCTCAGTCATACAATCAGGTTAACCTTGCACAAACTGTCAGAGGCTCTCCTGTCGCATCTTTCCAAATTTGCACGTAAATGTAAACAATAATTTCCGAGAAAAGGTCAAGGTCATGATGTTGCTGCCATTATTCTGGTGGGGAAAGGGTCTACGGTGGAATTTTCAAATGTGAACCAAGCTTTTTAAACTTATTTGATATATGTTTTCCAACTTATCAGTTAATGATCGGTGATTAATGCATTGAAAAAAAACAACGTGATTTGTTATTACTGAATCTGGAGTTTGTTAGTTATTGACGGTATGCCACCAATCACCCCGTTTCGGGCGATGCCACTTGAGATTGGAATGCGAGGCCGCTTCACGTATTGACTCATAACCAAAGAAAGAGTTCCAACTGAAATTGTTCTTAAAATTGTCATGGTAGAATGGAGATAAACCTACTGTGTTGGAAAATCAGAGGTATATAACGAAATTATATTATCTCTAAATTGTTCATTTTAAAACCGCTACGCGTTCGGTTTAAATGAAATTTAGAAACTCTTATAAAATATACCCCTCATGGTTTAGAATAAATACACGTACACCCACATGCACACGCACGCGCACACACAGGTGTGTGTGTGTAAGACAAAGGCTATGTTAACTAATTCAGACATAATATTCATCAGTTTGTCTTGCAATAACAAGTTGCCTGTTGAAATAAAAATGTACAAATTAGAAACTTGCAAAATTGGCAAAGTGAACGGTACACCTTTGTTTGACTTCATACCGTAGTTTTTGTTTGTTTATTTTTATTTTATTTTCGCCCGGCGTTTCGATGGCATAGCTATTTGACTGTGCCCCACTGCAATGGTTGAAGAATAAGGTTGTACTGTGGGAAATCTAAACCAGGGTGACTATCATCAGTATCCACATCCCAGGCATCTCTCGAGTGAATAAACTTTTCTACTTCTTTTCACGCAAGACAGACAGTTCCCAGTATTTTGTTGATATAATAAGTTATCATTTTCCAAGAAAATATTGGAAATGTGGGTTTTCTGATGATGTGAAACGATCTCCCACTGGTCTGACGAAAGTCGATTTCTTTTGTTTGTTGTGTTTGCGGCTGCAGAAACGCTGCATATGCACAAGAATATATCTTGGAGCAAGTACCATTTGGCGGGGTTCATTGATGTTGTGGAAGACCACAGACATGTCTGTAAACCTGACCTTGTGACAATCAGACAAAATCTGAATGGACAACGGCACATGACTGATATCGCAGACAGTTGTACCACAGAAACAAACAAACAAACAAATAAATAAATAAACAAATAGGCCAGAACAAGTCTTAATTTCAGTCTTGTCTTGACTTAACCCATCATTGTAGACTTGAGGGGAACTGAGTTATATTTATTCTTCCCGGATCAAGGATACACGAGTCACAGAGTCTCCTAAGGCGCCGCAACTAGCTGTGCACAGTAGCGTCCCTTATAAGGTGTGTGTGTGGGGGAGAGGGGGAGAGAGAGAGAGAGAGGGAGGTGATGTTGTGTTTCTTCAGGAGGACCCGGGTACCCCTCAGATTATCAGGGCCCGTTGTTAGTCATATGGTCATTGTTAATGGCCAAAATAATATAACTCCATGATCACAAGTAGCAAATATAATGTTTGCACTACTTCTGGCCATGCATGTATTCCTTCTGGCTTTTACATGTGTGAGTAAAGTTCAAGTTTCATTCAGCCTCAGTGGATGAATCACTAGTTCTATTCCTGTTTCTGGAAGAATTTTGCCAGGACACCGACACAGCGATATACATATTTCCGTTTTGAGCTGATTTACACAGTTTACAAATTGATTTTCACATCCATACCGCCGGCAACGCAAAAAACACCCTCTGCAGTCAAAACGACAAATATGTTTAATAAACTGATTCTAAAACAGTTTTTCAGAATCCCCAAACCGAAAAACCTCTCTATGGCAGCGCCCTCTACATACAGATTGTTCAGTGTTACACAAAATTCGTCATCACCTGCGTTGTTGCTGCCAATGACGTCACAGACAGCGTCACGTGACACTTCAACAATCACTGCGTCTTTTTATTGAAAAGCTTTAGAGATGGGTTTGTTTGGTGTTATACAGGGAGTGTGTAGTTCCCTGACGTTGCAACATCTACGCGATGTCACTGCTAAAAGCATCGTACAAGAAGCAGGGTAAGATATGGTCCACCTGTATTCAATGCTTCCGATTCGGTTAAGGAGCCGTCATAATGACGGGCTTAGCGACAGACCATTGACACTTGTCACTATTCATTAAAACGTAGGTGCACTATGATTAACAATTGACTTATAGAACTAAACATTTAGATACATTTTTTGGGCTGCCTTAAAAAGGTGAGACTGGTCTAGTGTTGCTGGGTGTTTTTTGAAAGCGCAAACACACACACACACGCACTCACGAACTATGTACTTATTTTAAGGAATTATATATTGATCATGTTGATATTTTATTCGTTAGTTCCCATTTTAAGATGTATGTTTCCAGGTCCATACTCTCTAGCTTGCCCCGCTCTGTGGTACAGAACGCCAAGGTCGATCTGGGTAAGTTGTCTACATCATGCCTTTACATGAGTGAATGTTGTTTTACATTGGTGTACAAACCAGTAATCTTTATACCTTCCTGAATATTATTTCGATACAAAGGAACAACAGATAGGGTGGGGTAGGAGCCTAATGAAACTGAGTAATACACATGTCGTATTTAATGTTTTACAGAACTGAAGTCTGGATTTGCGAAAGCTGTCGTCACTGGAGGGACTGCTCTGTTGTGTAAGTAGTGTCAGTTGGTGTCATCACATCAAATCTCTAACCTATAACCTTGTGCCTTTGTCTTTACAATAGAGGAGTGAGTGAGTGAGTTGGGTTTAAATCCGCTTTGAGAGGACATGTTCGTTATATCACGGTGTGTCAGTCTGATTGGGGAGGAAAGCGGGAAGTGAAGCATTTCTTTGGTGGCACCATCATGGCGCTGACAAATCTGGAAACATCATCATATAACTTAATGATTAATTTATCTGTTTAAAATGGAAGGGGAAAGTCAGTAACACTCGTCAATTATGTGAAACACAATTCCACATTGGGCATGTTGTAGGAACATGATAATGATCGGGACAAAAACCTGTTTCAAAACATTGAGCAGTGGATCCTTAGACGGCCAAGGGACACAACCCTCCATCTGTCTTCCTGGTAGTATACACTATACATCTCCTGTTTCAGGTGTTGCGGGTATGACGTATATTGTGAACAAGTATGGAGGGTCTGCCCTACGACGAAAATATTTTAATAAAAAAACAGAAGTGAAAGACACGTGCTCAGTAAAACAGCATCACCCTGAGGCTGAGGGACTTGAATCGGACTCCTGTTCCAGCCAACTATATGATCCAAAGTGGTGTGTGTCCCCTGGGAGCCTGTGGTGGGAAGTGGCAGGGGATGCCTGGTCCCGAGGGGAGGGGGTTCCCAATGACCCACTGTACGGGATACCCCCATGGATGGAGGCAGGCGGGCGGGACGAAAGTGAAGATGAAAGCCTCAGCTGGGACGAAGAATTTAATATTCCAGCAGGTGCCCTGTGGGCTGACATTTGTCCTGTGGTGGACTTGGTTTCAGAGGCACCCTACTAGCTGGAGGAGGAGGAAGTGGTGTAGGAGACAAGGTGAACAAGAGGGGAACGGTGTTGGAGGAGGAGCAGCGGGGGATGTATAGAAGAGTGAGTGAGTTTAGTTTTACGCCGCTTTTAGCAATATTCCAGCAATATCACGGCGGGGGACACCAGAATGGGCTTCGCATATTATACCCATGTGGGGAATCGAACCCGGGTCTTTGGCATGATGAGGGGACACTTTAACCACTAGGCTACCCCACCTCCCCTACAGGCATGGACTAATGCGACAAGCTTTGCTGAAACATCTGCCGTAGAAGAAGGTGTAGCAGGGACTCAAGGGGGGATGGGGTGCAGGAGGAGGTTTGTAGATGCAGGCTAGGGAAGGGAGGGAGGAAACCGGATCATTCATAAAGGAGAACATAAAAAATAATATAATGAAGAAAAATATTCCTTTGTTGTTTTTGCTGCATGGAATATTTTTAAACCTTGTAAAAGATTCTTTATTAACCTCGTGTTTATATCATTTGTGATACATATATAAATACAACAAATATTTACTTTGTAACCGAATTCTTGTTTGATGTTTGTGTACATTTATTAAATGATAAAACATATTGTGGTGTTATTATAAATTAATGAAATATGTTACATTACATCTGTGGCGCCCTTACTGCATTACGTCCTAATGCACGATCTGTGAATACAACTGACAATATTACAACAAACCCTTGCAGATGGTTGGATATCATTAGAGTTAGTGTGAACTGTGAAAATCCCCAAATATTCCTTTGTTGTTTTTGCTGCTGTTGTTATCACCTGCATGGACTATTTTTAAACCTTGTAAAAAGATATTTTATTAACCTCGTGTTTATATCATTTGTGATGCATATTTAAATACAACAAATATTTACTTTGTTACCGAATTCTTGTTTGATGTTTGTATATATTTATTAAAAATTAAAACATATTGTGGTGTTATTTTAAATTAGTGAAATATCTTACATTACATCTGTCGCGCCCTTGCTGCAATACGCCTCAATCCACGATCTGTGAATGCAACAGACAATTACAACAAACCCTTGCAGATGGTTGGATATCATTAGAGTTATTGTGATCTGTGAAAATCTCCCAGGAACTGTACACGGCTGTTGCTCCAGTTGTGGTGGTTGCATTTCAGACACTCCAGCATATATAACAAGCATTCAACGTTAGATCAAAGTGATTGAAAACGAATAACATAACTTGCAAAACTGAAATTAAAGACCATATGTTAGAGACCTATTCAGATGCACAATTCAATACCATAAACAAGATTCTACCATGACTTCAGTAAACACTGGATGGTGATTGGTTAATTAAAGTCATTCAGAGGTATATAATCACGTTATACAGGTATCTGATTTTCCGTGCGCAATCATACATGGTTTACGGTAATGCACTATTTTTGTCTGCCCAGCAACATGGCGGACACCAAACAACCTACCGATGCATCGATAAATTACGGCGATTTTGCTGTCGGAAATTACACATATGTCTTTAAAGATGGATTTAGCGATGACGGGCTCGACTCACTACTGGCGTAAATCACAGCAATAGGTGTTTATACATACAAAAGTACTTCGAAAGCATGGGAACAAATATTTAGTCGAACAAGATCAAAACATCGTCTGCTTTCCGAATAAAAATTCAGCAAAAACAAATATGTTTACGTTGATTCTATGTTATATCAGAATAGATCCAGCAATAGACTGCTACATAATTTCCGTGTTAAATTTATTAATAGCTTTCGTCAACGATATCGCCACTGATCTTCATCCGGTAACGGAGGATGCATTAACATCGAACACCGAAGAAATTTTAATGCCTTCCGTCCACATAAATAAACAGTTGGGTTATCAATTCAAACAAAATGATATTTTGAAATTTGTACTGTTTCAAATTTAGCAGTAGTAAAACACAATTACAGAATCTGCAAACCGTTCTGTTTAGCCCAACATATTTTTTTTATAAAAGTATAATATCGTTGAAAAAGTTATTTAGCTTCGTCATGATCCCTCTTATCCATTACACTGCTTGATCTAAAGTAGTCTATTAAAGTATAATTAATTACCTTACCGTGTTTATGCCAGAGGTACACCCTCATGTCCTGATCCATCCTTTCGGAAATATCACCACAAATCTGGCTCTTTGTCAACAGCTAGACTCGCGAACATGCCAGCGAATCCGATTCAATTTGAATTCACTACACTTTGAAGCCACTAGGTCACAAAACACTTTCCAAAATGTAGAAAATAATATCCGTAGAATCGAATTTGAGCACAAATTGAATTCACTACACTTTGAAGCCACTAGGTCACAAAACACTTTCCAAATGTAGAAAATAATATCCGTAGAATCGAATTTGAGCACAAACTAAAGTACACACATGAGTGTGTAAGAGTCACCACAGCACACTCCGGTACAGCGATGACTTACATAACATCAGTGCCACAGGCCAATTTGCATATCACGTGACCGGACTTTTCTCTTGTTTGTAATCAAACGCGCATATTCATAATAATAAGAGACTGGACTCACGAAAGCTATTCGGCGCTCTCTTCATGTTTTACATTGTTACATATATATTCTTCCACAACTGCGGCAGTTAGGTCTATGACAGTACATATTTAGATATCAAACTGGCTGCATCGTTTACTCTCCGTCGGCTTCGATGACTGCACGTGGAGCCGTACAACCTATGTAAACAAAGGATCGCTACGCAAATCGAAATAGTGTTACATATTTTTGGATATTTTCTCAGTGAAACTAAACCAGTCTATTAAAGATGTTTAGTTAGATGTGTAGACTCGTCAAAAATAAAAGAGTAAAAGAAATCTGTACATTATATTGAATGGACATTGCAAGATGTGACGAATCGTCACATTTTTCTGGCCTGTGGCAGAGGTACTATGCTGGCTTGCCGCATGGAACTCTGGGTAGGAGAGTGTCACCACAGCTGTCGCACGCAGACGTAGAGGTGCGTGAAATCGTCAAGTTGACAGGGCGCAAAATTCAACAAACTTATCTAAATTCGATACAACACGGACTTCTCGTTACAGCAAAAGCGCCTCTACTCTTAAATTTTGTACCAGTACCAGTAATTAGATACAAAAGACTATCTCAGTCATACAATCAGGTTAACCTTGTGCAAACTGTCAGAGGCTCTCCTGTCGGATCTTTCCACATTTGCACGTAAATGTAAACAGTGACTTCCCGAGACAAGGTCAAGGCCATGAGGTTGCTGCCATTATTCTGGTGGGGAAAGGGTCTACGGTGGAATTTTCAAATGTGAACCAAGCTTTTTAAACTTATTTGATATATGTTTTCCAACTTATCAGTTAATGATTGGTGATTGATGCATTGAAAAAACAAAACGTGATTTGTTATTACTGAATCTGGAGTTTGTTAGTCATTGACGGTTTGCCACCAATCACCCCGTTTCGGGCGATGCCACTTGAGATTGGAATGCAAAGCCGCTTCACGTATTGACTCGTAACCAAAGAAAGAGCTCCACCTGAAATTGTTCATAAAATAGTCATGGTAGAATGGAGATAAACCTACTGTGTTGGAAAATCAGAGGTATATAACGAAATTATATTATATTAATTTCACGCTACGCGTTCGGTTTTAAATGAAATTTAGAGCTATTATAATTTCGCTATACCCCCTCATTTTCCCACTAAGTAGGTTTATCTCCTAAATAATACACGCACGCCCACATGCACATGCACACGCACGCGCACACACAGGTGTGTGAGTAAGACAAAGGCTATGTTAACTGATTCAGACATAATATTCATCAGTTTGTCTTGCAATAACAAGTTGCCTGTTGAAATAAAAATGTACAAATTAGAAACTTGCAAAATTGGCAAAGTGAACGGTACACCTTTGTTTGACTTCATACCGTAGTTTTTTGTTTGTTTATTTTTTATTTTATTTTCGCCCGGCGTTTCGATGGCATAGCTATTTGACTGTGCCCCACTGCAATGGTTGAAGAATAAGGTTGTACTGTGGGAAATCTAAACCAGGGTGACTATCATCAGTATCCACATCCCAGGCATCTCTCGAGTGAATAAACCTTTCTACTTCTTTTCACGCAAGACAGACAGTTCCCAGTATTTTGTTGATATAATAAGTTATCATTTTCCAAGAAAATATTGGAAATGTGGGTTTTCTGATGATGTGAAACGATCTCCCACTGGTCTGACGAAAGTCGATTTCTTTTGTTTGTTGTGTTTGCGGCTGCAGAAACGCTGCATATGCACAAGAATATATCTTGGAGCAAGTACCATTTGGCGGGGTTCATTGATGTTGTGGAAGACCACAGACATGACTGTAAACCTGACCTTGTGACAATCAGACAAAATCTGAATGGACAACGGCACATGACTGATATCGTAGACAGTTGTACCACAGAAACAAACGAACAAACAAACAAATAAATAAATAAACAAATAGGCCAGAACAAGTCTTAATTTCAGCCTTGACTTAACCCATCATTGGAGACTTGAGGGGAACTGAGTTTTATTTATTCTTCCGGGATCAAGGATACACGAGTCACAGAGTCTCCTAAGGCGCCGCAATTAGTTGTGCACAGTAGCGTCCCTTATAAGGTGGGGAGGGGGGTAAGAGAGAGAGAGAGGGAGGTGATGTTGGGTTTCCTCAATAGGACCCGGGTACCCCTCAGATTATCAGGACCCGTTGTTAGTCATATGGTCATTGTTAATGGCCAAAACAATATAACTCCATGATCACAAGTAGCAAATATAATGTTTGCACTACTTCTGGCCATGCATGTATTCCTTCTGGCTTTTACATGTGTGAGTAAAGTTCAAGTTTCATTCAGCCTCAGTGGATGAATCACTAGTTCTATTCCTGTTTCTGGAAGAACTTTGCCAGGACACCGGTACAACGATATACATATTTCCGTTTTGAGCTGATTTACACAGTTTACAAATTGGTTTTTACATCCATACCGCCGGCAACGCAAAAAACACCCTCTGCAGTCAAAACGACAAATATGTTTAATAAACTGATTCTAAAACA